AAGTAATGGAGATCTGCAGAAAAGTATTAGAATAATATATTAGAAAATGTATGTTAAAGAATCCACTGCAAATGATTTCAAAAATATTTTGACTATTCCCAGGTCTAAAGATCTGTCAAATTAAACCTAGTGAATTAAAACCCTATAGAGCCAAAAAAACAATGAGTGTTGAATAATGGCTTCTGGATATACCAGCTTTATAGAAATGTGAAGGAAAGTTCTTTATTTTATTCTTTCTGCATAATGTAGAAAAATTATTTTCTAATTATTTTTTAATGATCTAGAAAATTTTACTGTCTTTTGACAATTTTTCAAATAAAGATTTATCTCTTCATGAAAGTACATGAATGTGACAGTGTCTAGGCTTTCTGTCAGAGAAAACAGCCCTAAATCACATCATTTTAGAAAATATCAAAGAAGCTTATGTAACATTCTGGGGATGGAGAAACAATAATAGATTTTTTTCTTACCTGAGATGTACTAGGTTGTGGTAGGTTAAGACAACTGATTTTAGAACTTAACAAATTGGGAGAGATAAAATGCAAGTGATATCAAGGGGCATTTTATGAACATATTGGCAAAATATGAGTTGGGAAGAGAGACCAGATTTTATTGTTGTATCAAATATTGTGAGAACATACCTAAAAGGATTTATTCTTTTTAGAAAATCTTCCCTTACTTTAGGTATTATGGAAATAACTGGTAAATTGAATCAGAAAAGATTTTTCAAATGTTATTTGTGAAGTAGTATAATTATGTTTCATAAATGTGTTGAATGTCCTAAAGAAAAGGTATACAGAGTTAAAAATTCAAAGTCCTGGGACCAGCAGATGACATAATGGTTATGTTGCTGGATTCCCACGTAGTTGAATGCAGTTCAAGTCCCAGACCTGATGGCTTAAAACTCATGCGGAGCATGTGTGTGTTTGTGTCTGTCCGTCCATCCCAAATCCCAAGAGGAGAATAGAGAGAAAGGAATTATCGATGTGATCATCCCCCCTGAAGGGTCTTTCTGTCTCTCTGTCTGTCTCTGTCTCTCCAGCGAGCACACATGCTGTATAGCAAAAAATCTCTCTAAATAAAGAAAAAGAGTCCAGTTTTCCTTTATTCAAATTTAATTTTTTCAATTCGTTTTTAAATAATACATTTAAAACATTTGCTGGAAAGTTTTAATGCTCATTATTGGGTCATCAGAAAAGTCATGACATATTTTTGCATAGAAAACTACGTCATAACTTTTCCGATGACCCAGTAGATACTTGAGAATTTCTGCTTAGTATGTGTTATACCTTTATGTGAAATTAAGGAATAATGAAACACACAGGTGCATCAGAAATTATAAATACAGGTTTGGAATTAGAAAGGTGTGGTTGGAATTCTTGCTCTGCCACTAGTACCTTCAGGACCTCAGGAAAGTAAGGGAACTTTGCCGACACTACTTCTGAGTTCTATAGAATATATAAGACATGTATCTGTTTCCCTTAATAAAAACTTTTCTTTAAATATATTTAATTTCATTCTTAAGTTCATGATTTCATTTAAAGTTCTGATTTTTATTACTACCTTTATTAAATAATGACTTAGTTAGAACAATATAAAAATGTTTTAGCCCAAATTAAGATATATTTTAATTAATCAGTTTTATTTTCTGATAGTTTGCAGCTATTGCAACTTTACCATTTGATGTGGTGAAAACACAAAAGCAGACACAACTTTGGATACATGAAAGTCACAAAAGTAAGTTTTATTAATTTAAAACATTTAAAAAAATTTCACTTTCTATTTCTGGTTTACTAAAAAGGAAGCAAATGAACAGAGGTTTGTAAGGGAGATCTGGAAAAGTCCTGGACAAAAGCCTCTGTCCCCCACGGAGTTAGAGTATGCCACTCTTCTGGCATGTGCATGTGTTCACTAACTGGAAAGCTCTCAGAACTCCATTGTTTAGGATTGTTATGGAAGTTTCGTTATGTAGGCGTGACTGATTATTAAATCATTGACCATTGATGATTTATCCAATTCCAGCCTTTCGTTTTTAAGATGTTTTGCTTTTCCTTCCAGATACTGTTAGGAATATATAAGATAAAGAAAACAAGATTTTTTCCCCCCTCTTCTATCTTGCTCTGGATTTATTTATAATAAATGAAACCAATATGCTGTTAGAATGTAATACCCAGATAAAGTACTCTAAATTCAAAATATTTAAGGAATCTTAAAGTCTAACGTTTCTTGACTACCATCAGTTAAGTCTTAGACCTGCTATAAAGAAAGATAATTTATCTCTCAGCTGCTAAATTCTATGATTTTTTTTTTTGTTAGTAGATGTATATGTTTCCTTTCTCTTTTTTGGTGTACTTTCCTTATCCCATTTATGTTTACTTCTTTGAAACCCATAATTTATCCTAAAATAAAACTACGTTCCTATCTGCTTCTGCTAGATCCCCTCTATCATTTATTCTTTTTAGAATATGTAACAAACCCAGGAGAAGCTATGTTTAAAAATTGTATCATGAAAGCCTTGGTGATAAACATAATGTAAATAAGTTGTCATACCCTGCCATAAAAATATTTCACCTAAAAAGTAAAAGAGGTATTATAGTGTTGAAACAAATATTGATTCTAGACCTCAAATGAATCTAATGGATACTAGTGACAACCTTGGTTTTTTTTTTTTTTTTGAGAGGTTTTGTTTGTTTGTTTGTTTGGCGCATGCGCTGGCCAGACAGACACAGAGATAGAAAGCGAGAAATCACCCTGGGGGGGGGAGGGGGGATGGCCACGCCGCAATCCCTTCTCCTCCGTTCTCCTCTCAGGATCTTGGGCATGCACACACATGCGCCCGGCGTGAGTTTTAAGCCACCAGGTCCGGGACGCAAACTGCGGTCGACTACGTGGGAGTCCAGCGACATAGCCACTACGCTAACTGCTGGTCCCGACAACCTTGTTTTTGATGTACCAAATACCTTCTCCCTTCTAAAATTGGAAACTAGTGGAAAAGTAGGAGGTAATCAAAACTTTATATCTGAGTTCTCCCACTTCCCTGTTGTAGGCATTAGCCTCCTAGCTGCCTAAACCTTCCTGTCCTCCTTTTGATAGGTCAAAATTATTTTTGTTTCATTTTTCCTTTCTTCTCATCAGGATTTCTGTTTTCCCTGTCAGGTGAACTATTTAAAATAGTAGAAATATTTTCTGGTGTAATTTATTATAAATGATTAATGACTGTGGCATTGAGGATGGTGGTGGTAATGGCAGTAATGAAGGAGATGAAACTCCTCAGGTAGATTCTGATGCATGCTAAATTTCTGAGAGCTACTTACCTGGGTGGAATTCCTGAAGTTCTTTTTCAGTATGTCAAGCTTAGTTAGCATCATTCCCAACAGACTCTTTATTTAATGGATCTACGGTGGGGCTACATTATGAATGTTTTAGATGATTGCGAAGACTGGCACCAGGCAGCCATCTTCGTTATTAGATTTAACTCTTACCTATTACTCATTGTTTTTTTCGTTTTTGTTTTTGTTTTTCCTAATTAACGTTTTCCCATTTAAACCCAAAAGAGGAAACCTTAATTTTTCACGATTATCATTGGTCATGATTGCTTGTTGCTCTGCTTTAGCTATGAGCCAATTGTTTAAAGATTTAGCAAGATACACTGCAAACCACACCCATTTAAACCCAAAAAGGAAAAGCATAAAGGAGAGTTGAGTGTTAATCTCAAATGATTATCATTGGTCATGATTACTTGTTACTCTGCTTCAGCTCGGAGCCAGTTGTTTAAAGATACAGCAAGGTACACTGCAAACTGCATTCCTGATTTGAGTGATAAATTTCCTCATGATTAATTTCATTATTTGTATTGTATTTATCCTCATCAAGAAAGTAATTCACCTACAATTAGAAGTGACTTCCTCCATTCCACAGCTCAGCTATACCAAATTTCTTATCTCAAAAAAAGAAAATACATTGTGTGTATAATGATGGTCAGTTCCATACAAGAATATGATCATATGATCTCTGCATCATCCCACTTAGACCACTTTTTCCTTTTTTTTATTCATTAGACAATTATTGATTGAGTACTTACTTTATATCAGGCATCAGAGTGGTATATACAAATAAATGAGACAATATCCAGGACCAGCCTGTAGCACAGTGGCTAACTGCTATGCACTGGGAACTCGATCCCACATGGGATTGGACCGCAGCTCAAATCTTGGCCCTGGTGGTTTGAAAAAAACACAGGGCACGTATATGTGCATGCACAAAATCCTGACAGAATGGAAAAGGAGGGATTCCAACATGACCATGGCCCATTGTAGGGCACTTTCTCTTTTTTTCTCTCTCTGGCAATACATGTGCCTTCTAACAATGAAATAAAAGAGACAATAACCAAATAATAATAAAAAAAAAAGGTGCCAGATCCAATATATAATAGAGATAACTTTTACCACATTTTTACTTAATTATATATTGAATGTTTTGTTTGTTTATTCATGATAATGCATATTCATGGGCATGTGTGAGAGACAGAGAGAAAAAGGGAAGGAAGGAGGAAGAAACACCCCCTTATACACATGTGGTTTAGACCTCTGTGATCTCCGACTTCCAGTCTTCTACGCTGATTGGATCCTGAGCAGTTATGTGTGTGCCCAGTGTGTTTCAGGCTGACTGGGCTGGTGATTCAAACTTCAGTCACCATGTGGAATCCACCTTCTCTTGAGTGGTTCGTTACCAATGCACCACAGAACCCTAATTTTTAAAATTTGGTTTCAGGTTTAATTTAAATTTTTTTTTTTTTTTAATTTGGGTTTTTGCTACAGGGCACGTCCATTCTGCACTTCGCATTTTGAGTATGCACGCACACGCGTCTGGCATGATTTTCCAAGCCACAGGGAGTGAGATTCAAACTGCAGTCGGCCATGTAGGAATCCAGTGCTTTAACCACCAAGCCACTTGCTGGCCCCTCTGATTTCAGTTTTTAAGTCAGGTCTCAGACTACCTGTCTTCCAGAGGTTAAAATTTTTCTCTGAGCATATTCCATATTTTTAAACACTATTAAAACATTATTTGATTTTAAACATTTCAAATTTTAAGATTAATACATTTAATATAGAGTAAGTTAATTTTAATATTTAAGGCAATATTTTAAACTGAGTTGTTTAAAAATGGCTATACTTAACTATAAGTTTACTAAATGTTCAGTATTAATAGTAATAAGGAACAGCAGTGAAAGGACACTTTATGTAAACTGGATTATTGGGGAGGATGTAGAGCTCTGTGAACTCTCATGCCACAATGGAGAGAGTTTAAATTTGAAACAGTTGCTTTGAAAAACAATCTGGCAATGTCAAGGACCTTTGAGCTATCAGTTTCCCTCCTACATATGTTCCCTAGAGAAACTTTTGCATAAGGCTATTCACCATAAGATTCTTAATAATAGCAAATTCCCTTGGCTGTAAAATAGGTAATTCATCACAATTCATATAGTGAAATATGATATGACAATTCAGAGAAATAAAGTACATCTATAGTTACCAACACAGATAATCCTAAAGTCACATTACCAGGGTAAATTTGCAGCGGGGTATCATTTACATGAAGTAAAGGTAGGACAAATGAGTATATATTCTTTATGGATACCCCCAGATGTAAAAATTTAAACTTACCAGGAAGATGATAAAATAGGAGAGTAGTTACTCCCTAGGAAAGAAGGAAGAGTATGATCTGGGAGGAATATACAAAAGGGCTTCAGTTGCACCTGAAGTTGTCACCATTATTTAATAAATTTAGATGGTCAGCAAATGAGTGTTTTGTTATGTTCTGTGCTTTGTGCTTGAAATTTTTAATAAAATACCATTTCTTCACAATTAAGATTTTACTAGTTATATGAGTAGCTCTTTAATGTGGAAACTTTTGGCAGGAAGTACTTTTGAGGTTCCCTTAGGACTCAAATGTGGCCTCCATTATATGGATACTTTTTCTTTTTGTCATTCTCTTTTACATTAAAGTAATTTTTCCTGATATTAGAATAGTGACCAGTTTGAAGCTTTAGTTTCACAAGATTAAAACTGCCTGGCTACTTGATCACCTTTCTTTCACCAGTTTCCAAAATTTAATGAAATAATTTAAATGTGGCATAAAATATTTCCAACTCATATTTTAAACTTCTTGTCATTGACTTTGCATAAAAAGTTAAATTTCATTCATAAATAATTGGTAATCGATTTTAAAATAATTGTCCTTCTGTTAGGTTGAAATAATTACTGTTTACATTTATACTGTTTATATATTGATAGTATAGCTTCTTAGGTAAGTCATTGATTTTCATAGTCTAGTAATTTCTTTTTTAAAATTTTTATAAGATTTTTTTAAACAATTATTTTATTTAACTTTTACTTCTTTATTTTAATTTGACCAGAGCGGGACCTAGTGAGTGAGAAAGAGAGAGAGAAAGTGAGAAAGCAAACCACCAGCTCCAGGACCCAAACCGTGGTCGTCACTTTCTTTCGCAATCTCACTCTGTCCCTCTCTGATCAAAATAAATAAATAAAGGGACCAGCAGTTAGCGTAATGGCTACGTCGCTGGACTCCCACGTAGTCGACCGCGGTTTGAGTCTTGGACCCGGTGGCTTAAACTCATGCCAGGTGCGTGTGCGTGCATGCCCAAGATCCCAAGAGGAGAATGGAGGAGAAGGGATTGCGGTGTGACCATCCCCCCTGG